TGATTTCTGTGATATGCCTCATAATAAAATGTTTGTATGCAAAAAGTTGACGACTCTACATGTTTCAATGTTACAACGTCATTCTCATGTAGAGTCGTCAACTACAATCATACAAACATTTTATTATGAGGCATATCACAGAAATCAAAAACTTTGTTAAAATTATCTGATAACTTAAGTTTTGGAGTATTAATCAAAAATAAATGTATGAATATATTTATAATACTCATTATGTTATTTTCATGTACTCTCTAAATAGATTTCATGTATCACTTACTTTTGTCTTCTTCAATTTATCATACGATGTACATTATTATTATTAAAGATGTATTGTGTCACTAAGAAATGTGCACATTGTAACATTCTCATGTTCACTTTTTTCTCTTTAAGTAATACCTACAAAATAACAGGAGGTTTGAACAGAAAATATTATGCAAAATTAAACTGAATTCTCTAGGTTTTGACTGAGTTTAGAGCAAAGAAATGACTGGACACAATATAAAATCCAATACAAATCATGATCAAAAACAATAAGTGTTTAGACTGGGGATAGCATCTTTACTAGAAGTCTAAAGTTGGTAAAAATCTGTTAAGACCTGTTTCACACTGATTAAATATAGCATTATAAACATAGTTCAGTATTTTTTCACTGTGTAAAAGCCACAGAACTATGGAATACTATTTTACATTTAATTAGTGGATGCAATTTATTTTATTTTTGCCTACTTCAACTCAAATACCAGAAACTTTTGACATGACTTGTTAATGCAGTCACGAAGCACCTTCTCTCTCTCTCTCTCTCTGTAACTGACCAATTGGAGAACAGGCACTGGAATGTGGACATATCTCTGTTCCATGTGACAATAACAAAGATATTCCCTCCACACAAAGTCATTTAGGCCAAAATGCAACTATCATATTAAACAGTAGATAAGTTCCTTGATCAGTCAAACTACAAAAATTAACATATCAGGCTAAATTTTGAAAATGAGCAATGAGCAAAAGTGGATTTAGTTGGTTCCAAAATTTCAACTTAGAGAAATTTTAAGATTTTGTAGATAAGAAATATATATTACAAGATAGTATTTGTATTATAAAAATGAAAGCATCAGATAAAAATTTTAATGTAATAAAAAATCTAATGTTTTTCTCACAGAATATTAGAATACCTAATAATGTTTTTAAAATAGCAGTTTAAGATGTTACATGTCAAGGGCTACTTAAGGACTATACCACATGCCTACCTTCTTGTACTCAGCTTCAGGATGTAAAGCATTTGAGACTGCATGCAACCACTCCTCCTCCCTTGGAGTGTCATTAAACAGAAAGGCTTCTTTACTAAGGTCTAGCTCCTGGAAACCAATGACATATAAGTCTGGAGGCAGCAAGTCTGACTTTGGAGCTAACCAATCTTCTAATGAGATTATTGGTGCTTGCCCATTTACATTCCAGGTACCAATAAACACTCTTAATAAAAAAAAGAAGATCAAGATATTAAAAAGATTTTGTTTTTGTTTGTTTGTTTGAAGTTAAGTACAAAACTATACAATGGGCTATTTGTTCTCTGCCCACCATGAACAGCAAAACCCAGTTTCTAGCATTGTAAGTCCACAGACATACCACTGTGCCACTTGGAGGCAAGACATTTTGTATCTTAGACCATGAGAATACCTAGGCTTTATTACACATTTTAAGCTGTTCTTACAACAAAAAAGAATATATTTGATAACTATAGAAGCAAATATTCATACATTAATATATAAAGTAAACACCATTATGGGTGTTATTTATCTAACTAAATTCCTAAACTTGTTAGTTTACATTATATTGTGCTAGATTATCTCAATATCATTTTTGTGAGGTTAATGCAACAGCAAAACCAAAAATACCAAATAAAAATCTTTACTGCTGATTGAACTACATTACCAAATATTTGAGTTGTTTATCAGTTTCAATGACAAAACTTGAAAATATGATTCTTGAAATTTTTTTATTTCCTTATCTATTAGTTGAATCACAATTCCAACCAAGTTCTCTTACTAGATGAACCACGATACTTACAGTTGAAATTGTAGACAGTAACTAAATCATAGAATCATTAATTTTGAAAACTATAAAAGTGGCAATAGAAAGTAGAAGCAGCATTTGGTGATGTTGACATAAAATTGAAAATCAGATTTCAATAACTCTTTCTTTAACTTGCCACAGGTTTAAAACTTACATTGTGACAAACCATTATAAACTTGTGCTTACTTCACATCTCACTGTGGCAGAAGTGTCACAAATTTAACAATTCTGTGGATTGTGCTTTTTAACTTTAAGAAATATAAGATTATGGGTATATTTTAATTCTACCTTTACTTGTAACAAGCTCACACTGCTTTGAAAACTGAATCAAATGAAAATGTAATGAGGATATTTCTGTAAGAGATCTTTAGGGTATATGAATATTATTTGAGTGAGCATTACTATGATTCAAATTATTTCAGAGTTCATATGCTTATTAGGCTATTATTGCAGGATGTATAAACAAATAAGTTATTTCTTTTCAGCAAACAGGAGTTACAGTGCCTTGGAATATTAAAATGAACAGTCTTGCCATAGACATGACACTGAAAATATCAACCTGCAATACAACGTAAATACAAAACTGAGCAGAAACAGCTCCATCAGTACTTGGTAGCTTGATCTTTTCCATGTTCGAAAGGATCATATTCAATAGATTTATATATATCACAGATGTAAAGGTATGGGTATTTCTGACAATACCACTTCACAGATGGTCATATTCATATGCAAGGGCACTATATGTTCAACAGTTATTATAAATATATACGTGTATTAGCATTTCACTAAGAGCATTATACATCCTGCTACATAATCTAAGCATTATATGTTCACAACTAACAGAATATGCTATCAGTTAACATACATTATAATACTGATAAACTACAGTTTACTGAATATCATAAAATCATATTTTTCAATAAGACATAACCATTTTAATTCTTTTCAAAAGTTACTCCCATGTGATGCATGTAGATCAGAAAAATATACAATTCAGTTCTCAATACTGATTAACTCTTTCGGCATGGGTTCGGTCCCTAGGACCAACCTCATAACCATTTTGTGCTTGTTAGAGTTTTCATGCTATAACTTTTAAATTAGTAGTATATGTTAACGAAATTTGGCAGATTATAAATAAAGATTACAAGGCTTTCAACAAATTTTTTTATTAAGTCTTAAGCAATGTTTTTCTCATGCAGTTTTTCTTTTCGCATGTTGCCTATCCAACATGCAAATTAATTTTCATTTTAAGATTAAAAATTCTTTTATGCATCAGAAAATTTTCAAATTTCACATGCAAAATCTTTATAGCATCCAGATAGTTATCAAATGTTTCTTAAGAAAAAACTATACTTTATCTGTGAAAAAGAATCTCTGTATGGGTTCAGTCAATTTGACCAATCTCGTAACCACTATAAAAAATTAGGAAATAAATATAAATTATGCTTTTTTCGTTCTAAAATGATAACAAATTATAACATGAAAACATAAATGTTTAGACTAAATAGCTTAAATCTCATAACATTATACATTTATATATATTTATTATTTTTATTATATTGACCTTTCAGCCATGCCTGACTAACATTAACAATACAGAAGTTACAATGATATGATGCATGTGCACTCATGTTACTGTATCCAATAATATAAAACTGACCTTTAGTCTTTACAAAGTGACCTGTCTTGGCTGTATTTTAATGGACTAGTATTTTGTACAGTACAGTCACATTTCAATTATTATACATAATATATGTATATACATTATTACTATTTAAAAATAAGTTCTTAAACTTATTTTTCTTAAAATATAAAACAGTAAATAAAGAAGTAAAGCAAACAATTATCTCTTGTAGTTATGACCTTTGTACTCGTTTGATGCTTGTCAAAGGTTGCTAAGCGTTATATAATTTTGCATGTAGAGGATGTGAAATGGAAAAAATTTGTTTAGGTTTTATACATACATTTGAAATAAACCAAAAAAATTATAAATTACTATATTGATACTATAGAATTTCACTATAATTTATCAAGCTTAGTAATTAAGCTGTATTTGGGTAAAAAATATATATGAAAGACTTGTCTTACCAGCTTGAAGATTTGTATCAAAAGAACGAGTGACATTTTAATACTTGAAAATGGCTGAGAAAGGCACAAGGGGACATTCTGAGCTTTCAATTGGTTATTCACATGTCATAGACAGAAGTAAGTGTAAGGAGGTGAATTATAATCTACAGTTTGATACCAAACTCATTGACATAAATTCATAAAATAATCCTTCAATAATATTTTGAATGCGAGTCAACAGACGTGATGACATGGCCTTTAAACCATGTGGAAAGGGTTAACAAATAATTTTGTTTTTGACTGATTTCATTAAAATGACTTTATTTTTTAGTTTATACACAAAACCTTAATGAAACTTAGTGCAATAAAATCATGACCACTATAAAAATGAAAGAACTTTTAATTTGTGGTAAGTAGTAGATAATAAATACAATGAACAAACTATAAAAACACTTTCATCTAAATTGCCATACAAATGTATTTTGTGGTGACAATCATATCCTTCAGCAAAATTTAAAAAAATCTAAGGAATAAAATGGTTAATAGTAGTAAAGATTACTTTCATCAACTGTGATGATATATATATATATATATAAGAACTCTGTAAAAAAAAGCCAAAGGTTTACTTATAAAAGTCATCAAAATTTACCTAAAATTCTGAAGGTCTGTATAATCTTCTTCTCTCATTGTCATCTGGAGTTTTACCACACTTTCTCTAGCAGCTAAAGGTGTAGCTCCCATGGCAATACTTTGTCTGGGTATGTTGCCAAAGTTTTCTGAATTATCAAGGTCACTAACGAATGGAAAATAAGTTAGTCAAATGCTGTTATATCTAAAGCACATGTTTAATTTGTTTTCTACCTCTGAACTTGCCTTCACTGAATGTTTTTAAGAATTAGATCCTTGTTTATCATAAAAAGGTGAATATTTTATTGTTTACCATGAATTTATAATATTTTTAACACATTGGTGCATGGATTTTTGAATTGTATGAATAAACAACTTTGAACTTTAGTACTAGAAAAAAAAACAACCTTATAGTATTAAAATGTCTTTTATACACTTATAGGCTCTACAGAAATTAAATAATGAGCTTTGAATTTGTTGACCTTGTTCTCCAGCAAATCATATATTATGAAGGATCATTCAATTTGGTAGTTTTTGGTCTTTCCATGGTTGGTGTTGCTGGAGAATTCCTTTAAACATTAGTCATGTGAACGAACAGAAGTATCAAAAACATTGCCTTCCCATTTTCTTGAAAAAAATGACCTTATGACATGAGTGACAAGGCACTCTGGGATAATCAACTGTGTCTAATTTGAGTATCACACTCAAAAAATTATGATTCTCATCACAGTAGTGGCTGCCCATTGCCCAGTGAAGACATCTGTTTGAACTGTCAGGCTGAATTGATGTATCAATTTTAAACCTTGCCTTACATCAATCAATAAAGAATTTTGTTTCTTTGTAAAAGTCCACAATGTATCCTCTCCCTTTAATAAAACCACATTAAATTCCAGAATCAAACTATGTAATACATTTTCTGGCAAACCTGTACTTAGACCAATTACTATAATTACTTGTAGGAAGTCAGTTCCCAAGAAAGTAACACAAAATGAGGTAGTAAGTGTGAAATTCTGATGGTGCAACCACAGGGTTTTTATATAAAGTTTCTGAATTTTGATGTGTACTTTTCTAAACTCTTTTGTACTCATTTAAAATTTTTATAGTTTTCTGGTGACATTTTTTGTGTTACTGATACTGAATATTTGTTATATTATTTCCTTTTGGAATGTTGCAAGAATTTGACCTTGTTGTACATCACCAACCATGCCCACAACTTTAAAATGATGATGGACTGTTCCTCCAAATAGGGAAAGCTTGTCTAATCTTTAAATGTCCTGATCCTGGACACTGCACAGCAGTGAAAACCAATACAGCAGCAGTTGCATCAAATCATACAGTATGTGATGATTAAACTATTGGATGACATCAAATATGATACTTCTGGAGTTCCAGGAAGAGCAACTGAAGGACTCAGTTCTAGCTTTGGTGATACTTATCACAAAATAAGGTGAGGTATAATCACCAAAGTTAAAGGAATATTTAATGTACATCCACATAGCCTGTAGCACTTGTATGAGTACTTACAAGTGCAGGAAGGTATGCTGTACTATTATTACGAAACACAAACACACATTTCTCAACCTTTGACGTAGCTTGTGGTCCAAAGAGCTTTTAGGCAGCAGCTACTCTATAATATTCCATATAACAACAGGTTTTTTTTTGCACTTGTGCTTATATGTGAAAGTATTTTTTTGATTGTATTTGTATCAAGATGTTTAGAAAGATGATGTAAACATTGTAGTGTGTGTGTGTGAAAAGCCAAAAACAAGCTGGCTATGCAAAGAAAACATCCTGCAGAGAGTTGCAGGTTCTCCTTTAGAGAGAACAGCCCTGGAGACTGATCATGGTAAGCAGTCTGTGCCGATCAGTACTGATTACTTTAACAAGTAAGCAAAATCTTATTAATTAGTTGACATATAAGCAGAGTCTGTAACTGATGTGATTGCATGATTCTAACATCTGGAGAAATCCATATAACTAAGGACTTGTGTGAAGTATTACATGCAGTCTGTTAACCCTAACTGAACTAACTGTGGCAAATATCTGTTGAATATCATGGTGTATCAAGCAACAGACTATTTGCCAAACTTTCTGATGTTTGAGTGGGAAAACAACTCCCAATGGATGAGATGTACATCTATTCTATAAATGTAGATGTGCCAAAGCATCCACAAGAATATGTGTAGTGACTAAGACCTACTTTAGTTGATTGACATGAATTTACATGTAAGCAAAGGAGTAAAACTACTATATGGCTGATGAGATGTTACAACAAGACAGAAGAAATAACAGTTCAAGCGTGAAGAAATGTAAGGCTTTGGTACTTGACCGCAGTGTTGAAGCAACTGAGTTCTGGTTAGAATGGTCCTTATTCTGTTTTCAGATAGTTCAATTCATCAGACAACAAGCTATATCAGTTACTTTTTAAAGTTAAAACTGTATGCCACTAATGAACCTTTCATGCATTGGTTGGACATGGGTTAATAAATTAATGGGTCATAGGACAGTACAAAACACTGCACTGTACAATCTCAACCTAGCTGATGAGAAGAATGATGGCTGTGCACTAATGAACCTTTCATGCATTGGTTGGACATGGGTTAATAAATTAATGGGTCATAGGACAGTACAAAACACTGCACTGTACAATCTCAACCTAGCTGATGAGAAGAAGGATGGCTGTGCATATCTGAACTACTGAGATGAGTCAGATGAAGAAATAACAGTACAGGAGTTTGAATGCTTTCATAGCTTAATGAGGTTTCAACCACCAAGTTGTTATAGCTGAAATTAACTGCTTGACCAACAAAAATGTGTGCATTTGTTTGATGCCTTATTCATGTACCAAAACTAAATTCAAGCTAACTCTAATTTTAGAACTATATAATTAACCAAGTGATAGTGTTGTACTTGTACTTACAACTCAACCCACAGTGACACTGACTATAATTAAAAATAAATCTATGAGTAACACATGTTAACACTGTACTTATGTTTTTAACTGAACACAAAACAACAATCTAAAAATGAAGCACAAACTAACTCTGTATATGAAACTAAACCATAATAACTTGTAGTATAAACCTATATAATTTGTAACAGGTTGAAATGACACCATCACACAGAACTTATTCCCATTGCTCTCATATCTGTCCTGGTCCACTAAAACTGTACTGTACGCTACATTAACCGGCTAAATCAACAGAAGCATAAGCCATTTGATGAAAGATAAGGACTGGAGGAACAGCTGTACCAGAAAGAACAAAGTTGGTCTAGGAGCTTTGACAACACTGGGAGGAACTCAACAAGAACAAGATGAACTTTACTAAAGATAGTAGGGAAGTAATAAGGAAGACTAGCAGTAAGTTTATGGAAGCTCTGGATATTCTACCTTTTGAAATGAAGTCATATGTAGTTCTGTATGTGTGCACTATCAGTCTCTTATATATTTTTCCCTTCTCTAAATTGATCTTATAAGTGTATAATGTACAATTACAAGTTTTCCACTGAAAGTTTTTGTGCTATTGAAGTATCTATGCTGTAAAAATATAATGTAAACTAGAGTATTTAAGGATATTTTGGATGAGTTCTAAAAGATGTCTTTTATAAATAAAGATGCAGAAGAAAATAAATTTCAACTACTATCTAGTATGAATTAAAATGCGTTTTCATTATGAGATTAATACTTTCAGCTCAGTATTTCAGATTTTTATAAGTGCACATGAGAAGTTAAATTTCTCAAAAATTCTATTTGATCTCCTCCCTTGAATCACCTACACAATAAAATTTTGAATACCCAGTTATAGAATTTTATTTTCATATAAATTTCATTAAAATTTGTTTAAATAAAGTAAAATCAAAATAAATTTACACTGTTAACCCTGCATAAATAAAACATGTCAACATTTAAAAACTGTTGCAAAATTGTGGTCTTTGTACACATATATTGCTTGTTTCAAGCCCAATAGTTCGAAAACTATCAATTTCTTAAGTTGGGGTGTCTTAAACTGTAAATTTCATCCAACAACACTTATTGTTTTACAATTTCTAAACTTTCACATCTAACAAATATCATAAATATAGATTCTTTTTTTTATTTACATTGACTTTAAATTCCTAAACTTTCAGTTATGTCAAAAGCCTGTCTTTTGTCCAACGCCCTCTTAATATCTTATTATATCTCTCTTTTTTAATGCTACACAGAAAATAAATCAATCTTATTGGCTTTCCTGTTTTATTTTTAATTGTACTGAAATAATACTTTGGTAGTTGCTTTTCACTTAAACAAGGCCTCTAATTTGTAATTTGAAACTAATGGAGTCTTCACAGTGGACTTCACCAAGTATGAGTTTACAGATTAACAGGGGTCTTACTGTAATAACTGTACACAATGTCTAAAAGGAGGTAAGGTTTATAAACAAAATAGTGTAACACATACAATACACATTAATCTTAGTATTAATTATATCAAAGATATTTTATTGCAAAAGTTCATTCAACAAAGTGAACTAGTGCAATATGTCATTAGACATGTTACTGTATTTGTTGCTATTCAAAAATGTGTGTTTGTTGCAATGAAATAGATGAAAAACAAATAAAATGGCTACTAAAAGATATACAAATTGGCTTAAATCTTGAATACAAACTCCTCTTTAAGAGACAATCACTTAGAGAAATGAATAGGACAAAATAAGATAAAAAAAGAAAGAAATACCGTTGAAATTTTGTGTGAAATTTGGTTTTCAGTTCAATGGTTTTGGTTGTATCATGTTTAGAAAAGGTTTAAATAATAAATTTATCAAAATAATCTACCTTAGATTCAAAAACATTCAAATGTTTTATGGCTATGTTTTAGATATGGTAATATTTATGAATTACTAATTTCTATGAATGCTAAAGCAGAAATTGTAGTATATTGTCTCTAGGCTGGAAAGAATTAAAATCACTAAAATTTAAAAAGCAAAACATTTAGCTAGTGTCTTGTAGAAGTCTAAAGTCTTTTTTGTTATAATATTATAACTTTACACCATAAAAATGCCCAAAATATGACTCAAAGATAAAAAAAATGTTTGGTTAGAACTTTACATGACTTCTTAAAAGTTTTTTTTTCTGATTTCATATCATGGCATGAAGTTTAAATTAAAAATGTTTTTTTTTATGTTTTAGACAGAGTTTTAAAATTGTTTTCTTGGTTTCATATCATAAATTGGTATGAAATGTTAAACTAAAGATGTGCTGTTAATCTTTTGAACAGTTTTAAAAGTATATTCCTTAGAGTATTATAAAGGGTAAAACTAATGACCTTTTACTTGCAACATGTAAGAGGTACTAAAAGCATTTTTTGTATATGTGTAGTCATAAATCATGCAGTGAACAAAAGTTTCTACAAGTAATACTTGTACAATGTTGGAAACAGCTTTCCTTTTGTACATAAAAACATGAATATTTGCTAGTTCATTTTGAAAATAGTTAAATATGGATGTGATCCAGAGATCCCACATTTTCTAAATTATTTTTGTATGAAATTATTTGTTGTTCCATAACTTTGTTGCTTACAGGTTAGCTAATAACATAAAAGTCACATACAAAAATACCTTCAATATTGCAATTAATGTCAATAATTAACACCAAGATTCCTCATATATTTTACATAGTAAATGAGTAATTTCACCCAATTTTTTTTCCAAATTCTTTACACTGAGTATTATAATAGGCATAAACATAAAATATTCTAATATTATACAATATGTGGTACCAACTGGTAATGGACAGTATGAAACGAAGTCTATAAATTCATGATTAACATGTTTTATTTCACAAAGGTATAAATCCCAAATATATGTGTTTTAGTCTCAGAGAATTGTTGCAAGGTATTTTTGTGCCAAGTTTTATTTGCATTGGTAGAAATATAAGAGAACTGCATGCTAAAACATGTTTTTTGTAATGTTTGACCTTTGTGCCCATAAAATCGAAATGGAGGCCTAAATAAAAAGTGAAATGGTCTCTGAACGTGTTGGACCAAGGTATATGCCTTGTAACTTTCAAGTTGATCTGCTCAAAAATAAAGGAGTGACACATAACTTTAGTTTTGTAGAGAACAAGAAGAAACAATAGAGAATATCATATGCCTCCATCCATTTGAGGGCAGACATAATTTAAAATGTGGGTCAGCCACATACTTACTGTATTGTATAAGTACAATATGTAGATGACAGGCAAGCAATACTCTTTAACATAGAGAATATAAAGAAAAAAACCATAAAACTTTAGAAATAAAACCCTTTAGCAATGAACATTAAAGAGTAAGTCAGAATAAAAACCCTTAATATCAGTAATACACATGTTATCTTTTTAATCCTTACCTGAGTTAAAGGTAAAAATAATTCACAATGTACATAGTAAATAGCTCTGAACCTAGAGACATCGTCTGCAAATGTAAATGTTTCAGAGTTGTTAATAATAATTTGCATATACAATATCAAAGAAAATATCTTATTTTCCCAAAACTTACCTGTAAAGTTTCTGTTATTGTGAATAAACATACTTATCCAGAAACTGACTATCCTGTGTATTATAAGGTCACAACTTAGTATGCTCCAAAAAGGGGGTATAAATTACAGAATTTGTACTACAGAGGGAGAAAAACTTAAAAGTACCCCTCTATTTTTGTATCTACTATATTCTGAGAATCTTATTAAATAAAGTGAGTAGGGGGAAATATATTTGCATGTATTTGTGAATGGTGGCCTTTCAAGTATTAGCAAATGTGTAATAATGAACATATTACACAGAAAAAAAAAAATATATAACTAGTGTACATACTGATTAGTGATTTTAGTGAAACAATTTTTATAACATCTTGTTACATTTTAATATAGAATACAGGATTAATTAATTTACTGCTCATTCTAGGTTGTCAAAATCAAATGGGTTTTCTTGGATTTGTAAACTATGAAATCACATGATTCATGACTATTACATCATCTGTCAAAGTTTTTTCCTTACCTCTCTTGTGAATCACTTTTCTTAAGTTCAGTATTGCTTGGCCAGTTGTCTGATGTCATTAACTCTGAGAAATTATCATCAAAAGCCAACCCTGAAACACACAAATCATCAACAAAATACTTTATTTAGTCACAGTTAACATTTTCTTAAATCGAAAATGTATTTCCAATAATACTTACCTCCTCTCACACTACAACTATTACTCGACTGCCAGGGCTTCTTCCTTTGCCCATCTAAGCATTGTTCTGATCTTTTCTCGCTTGCTCCAGTCTTTTATACCCCACTTAATTGCCCTTGGCAATATTTGTCTCATGACACTTTCCACCTATGTCAATAAGCCATTTATCCTGGTGCTGTATATAAGCACCTCATTCAGATAGTGCTATTACTTTTTCAAGACTGCCTCAATTCACAGCCTCTAACACCGGCTCTTAGTGGGAAGGAAGGGTGGGAGAGTGTCAGCAAAGGTAAGTATTATTGGAAATTCATTTTAAATTTATGAAAATGTAAACTTCCAAAACATACATACCTCCTCTTACATTACAGCTAGAATCCCACATTGATAAGGTGGAGGGGCCAGTGAGAGCATTATCCATACAGAAAGCATCAGCAATAGATCATTGGTGTGTCAATAGAAGATTGGTACCATAGTGGGGAAACCACACTACATCCAGAATAGGTATGCTTTTCATCAGGAACTTAATTCCTGTACTGTAGGTAAAATTTTACATGATTTATCATCACTACAGGCCAGGCCCTAACCGGATAGCTGAGGTTCCACTGTTTGGGGTTGGAATTATAGGGCCATGGACCCTATGTCCCATTTTGGTGGCTAGGGCAATTGGGCTGCAATATATATATTTATATACACACATACATACACATATACTTATGAGTGGATCCCAATCTGTAGCCATAGAATGATGGATTCTGAACCATCAGAATCACAACGAGAAGGTAAGCATCACCAAAGTGGATAAACCTTCTCCACAACATGAAGAAGTCCAATAGGCAACACCCAAGGCTTGGAATGATGGGATCTTGTATGCTATACTCAACCTGAGTAAACTGAACTCATCCAGTCTGGAATTATGAACACCCATCTTCACTCCCCAACCAAGTGGCAAGGTAAATTCTTCTTGTCTTTGACGTAATTCTAAATGCTGAGTTATCCCTTTCTGGATCCTTGCTTGAGCACAGTTTGTTCCACATCCTCCCCATAATGAGGAGACAATGTACCCTCTTCCACGAACAATGTAATGAACCAATATTGATCAAAAAGAAGGGCCACGCTCAACCAAAGCGGATAGTCGAGCGTCAAATCTGAACTAGTATTACGAGTAGGCTCCCAAGTAGGCTGGTGCCTCTCCTACCAACATCTGGGGAAAAAATGTCCAGGGACTCAACTTCGTCTTCTACTCCAAGAGTGAAGGAAATTCACTCTAGAAGAAAAACCTCTGTCCACCACCCAAGTGACTAGAAACTGGGTGTGGTAAGGACTCCCTAGCTCCACGAGTAGAATCTGGGGGGTAATGCATGTTGGGGAATCCTGAGTAACAGTGCAATAGGTGAACCAAGTTCCCTAAATTTCTAAAAGCAAACCAACCCCAATTTATTCAATCCAATGATCAACAGGAATGGGCAGGATCCCCCTTAAGCTTTACTCATGATAGTCCAGGAGTGGCTGTCCAGCATAGTACAGTAATACCACCCAGTTAGCCTACAGGTGGTCTTATGGAACACCTCATTTCTACAGAGCCTGTTGCAACCTAGATAAACCATATTGAATTAGTGGTTGCTAGTGCAAAATTGGTTTGATAAAAGCACACCGGCCTGGGCAGCACTTGCTCTAGAATGGGATCCTGTGAAAACAAGGTAAGAGACCCTGAAAGGTAGAGAGAGATAAACATAGCACTGAAAATACTCACTCCTCTGTATAATCTAGTGGAAGTGGTTAAGATAGCTACAGGGGGTAGTCAAAAACCTTGAGATAAAGATACTGCCTAATCATGCATATAACGTGAGATAAAAGCATTGGGGGCGGTTCACTTACCAGCCCACACAATGTCCTCCAGCGGGCAATTCAACCAGGCCTCTAAGGACATAGAAATGTGACAAATCTGATTAGACGTGACTCACAGAAGTCTCCTTACTTTCAAAGAGAGCCCAGAATGAGCGATAGGGATCAATTTGTACCCACTTTGTAAATGTAACCAGGGATAAATCCTGGTAAAGTGAATCATCCCAATGAATAAAAAGTTGTTGTCTAGCATCTCTAACAGCATTAGTATAAGCAACAAAACCTTCAAAAACTTCACTGTGCATAACAAACAATCAAAATCTGATCAGTCATAAAAGTGAAAAATAGTGATCAGATGAATTGGTGAAAAGGATTTAACCTCTTTCCTGGCTGCCAGTGTCTCAGAGAAGAAGAACTGGTCTGAGAATATAAATAGAATGATAAAGCATCCTGTGCAAATCAGCCAAAACACTCTGAGTGGTGACGTCTGTAGATTAACAGCAACAAAAAATAAACCTTCATGGAAAGGTGATACATGGCATGTAATGCCATCTTAATATACCAGTTAGATAACTGAAATGGTCAACTGGGACAAAGGACCCAAAACAACTTGAAAGAGCCAGAGATATATACTGTGGCCTAAAAAAAAGTTTTTGTCTCTAGTATCGAATGGTAATCAACAGGACTACCTTATACAGGGTGACTGTGGAAAATGCAAAACCCTTGCCAAAGAGCCAGGACAAAATACGAATTATGTTTGGCACTTCTGATTGAAGTGGGTTCAACCACCTCTCAATACACCATCACCAATATGTGTGCCATTTCCATTGATAAATGTCCATTGCAGGACTAAGCAAAGACTCAGTCAGATACACTGGCAACCTTAGAAATGAAACCCCGATGCCATGTGAAGGACTGCATCACCTTCATGCCTGAAGCTTGAGCTTCTCGATAGCCAGGTGTACGATGTCAGATCACGGATGTCTCAACAGAGATGGCCAAAGAGGAATAGGTGGGCACTCCTGAAAGTACCACAGAAGCAGAAACCAGGGTATAGCTGCCAATCTGGTGCTATCAACAGGACCCAACAATGGGCTGGAACGAATCACAGTTAGTACCTTGGGTAACATATGAATTGGAGGGAGGCCTAGAGTCCCATCCTGACAGAATGCATCCATTGCCAAAGACAGAGGGTGAAGTACTGGAGACCAAATTACTAGTAGTTAGCTGTTCCAATAAGTGGCCAACCCACCAATCATCAGTGTTTCAAAGTGAGAGCCAATCAACAGAAAACCTTGCAGTGCAGCATCTATTCTGTCAGAAGAATCTGTCTGGGTTGAGAAAATTGATCTGCCACTTAAGTCATCACCCATGGAACATGGCAAGTGAGTAGGGTGATATGATAGAAGTGGTCCCGAGAAAGGAGATCAAAGGTTCAAAAACAAAGAGCCTTGGAGCAAGTGCCCCCTTGATGGGAAATGCAAGACTCCACCATGGAATTGTCAGAGTGAAGCCTGATGATTTTCCCTTAATAAGCCCTAACCATGAAGCATCACCGTTTGAAGAGAGAAAATGTTTAAAACATTGTGTAGGGAAGCTTCATAGTCTGGAATTCCTGACTGTTGAGATATGCACCTCATCCCTGAGGCAAGGCATTCATGAAGTGATGGATCTCTGGAGGAAGTAATGGGAGAGGAAGCTATGTTTTAGTATTGTCCTGATCTAACAACCTCTCGAGATCAAAGAGAACAATCCTGAATAAGGAAACTGGGGAATCTAGTGCATTGATGTTTATGATCCATTGGTCGCATAAAGACCATTGAACTGTGTTTATCCCAAAGACATGAGGAATTCAACTGATGCCCACATTCCCAAAAGAGAAAGAACCATACTTTCAGTGGGAGAAAGAGAGGTCAGTAAGAATCGGATTTCCCGTTCCATAGTGTGGAGCCAGATGGGAGTCGGCTAACCCCGACTTAGATATGTGATGGAAAAAATACCCAAACTGATGACATATTGTGTTGGAGCAAGAATAGATTTCTCAGCTCTGATAATAAAGCGTGCCTTTGTCGTTTCTGAAATGTTTCCATGTAGTTCCAACAACCGTGGCAGACAAGGTGAAGATGTCCCTTCATATAAGTGAGCAGTAAATCTCCCTGCTCGAACCACAATGTCAGTGGATGGAGAGAAAACTAAGTATTCACTCCTACACTTTTCAGGCATCAAGTAAGGTGCATGCTCAAAAGCAACTGGGGAAAGATCCAAAACATCATACACTCTGTGGACCAACTGAAGAAAAGGAGCCTGAAGCAGCTTATCCCAAAGTAGCTTCCTGAGAAGCCAACAGAATAAAAAAGTTGCAGGAAAAAGCAAATCTAAGTGCTCTCCAGAATGTCCAGAATCACCCTCAATTTCAGCCTCAAAGCCCCCCAGAGGAACACCACCAAACCAAATATATGTCTCCATCTCACCACAATTAAGATCACTGACAGTCTCAACTGAGAGTGACTCCCTCCCCATTGTTGAGCAATGCTAGGTATCAAAGATGGAATAGGAGAGACGTGATTTGCTTCCATGTGGAAAATAATTCATCTGGGAATTCATGCCATATATCAGCTTGCCAAATGAAAATTTTATTTTTTTAATGAAAATCAACCAGGTAACACAAAGAATGCTCATACTATCTTCAACGATCATAGCACAAAGAAACCATTAGTAAATACTTTGTCATGAAAAAGTGATAACGTTATCTGAATGAGGTGCTGACATGCAGTACCAGGATAGAGGTCATACTGATGTAGGTGGAGAGTGTCATGAGACAAATATCACCAAGGACAATTAAGTGGGGTATAAAAGATTGGAGCAAGTGAGAAAAGATCAGAACAATGCTTAGATGAGGAAAGGAAGAAGCCCTGGCAGTCAAGTAATAGTTGTAGTGAGAGAGGAGAAAAGTATGTTTTGGAATATGAATTTCTCAAATCTCTACATTTTTACAACACACCCATATACATGTATCCAAGGTTTCTGGTTTTTATGATTTAATACTCAAGAGTAACCTGTGATGCTAGAAAACTGGTAAGATAAAGAACATTCTATATCGCATGTAATAGATATATGAGCAAATAAATTATAAACTTTATTTAAATAGTCAATAAAAATTCAAATAAAGAATATACGTATTACTTTGGTAAATTATACATCAGATTAAATATCTGAAATTAATTATTATCATCCAATTCTAACATACTAACTTGCCTATATTAACATAAAATGATCTTTTTTTTTTCATATTACATTACAATTATTTTTTAACTAAAAACCAGGTATTCATTATTGTATTATGTGAACATTATCTAAGACATTATAGTAAAAATCTAAATTACCTACTTACCAGATTTTAAAGAAGTTGAACCCACTGAGTGATGTGAAACATTATCATCAGAAAGGTCGAACCAGAGAGTATGTGGTACATTCAATGGTACATAAGCTTGCAGCCAAGTGAAACTCGGTGGTGGCCCGACTCGTAGTGAACTAGCTGAACCAAAATAATAACATCCCGCTGTTCTCATATCCAAAATGTTTAATGAGAATAAAAATTGATAATTTAAAGAGCTATATTGTATGTAGCTCTTGAATAAGACAGTATAAACTATAAATTGTATAAGAATTTACAATATACAAGTTTAAACAGATACCTGTGTAGAAAACTCATATAGCACTAGGTAAGCAATCATGCTTTGTAAGTTTTTACAGCCTAAATTACTAATCATGCTAAATTTGTTTAATTTTACTTGAATTGAACAGCATCTTTTATGGTTTTATGGGTAAAAGGGCAATTGTATTTCCTTTAAGGTTTTCCTTCTGACCTAACAATAAGTGATTCAAGATGAAAGATAGCAGCAATGAGTCATTTTAAGATTGTTGTCATTGATTGTGTAGGTCACTGAAAAGGTGGTACCTAATAAAAGTTGTGTTAAATTTCCATCATCAGGTATGCTTTATTGTAATTATTTTATATGTTTCATTTATGTTTTTTATGTTGAATATTTATTTCTCTCCATGAATGTTCTGTATGAGCACAACATTATGCATATTAACACTCTTTTAAAATACATTTTAGTTCCACTCAGAGTTAGCTATAAGCTCCCTCCATTTGAAATACTTATTTTGATAGCTTTATTTTTTAATCATCTTAACTCATAATTCCAATCACATAAACACATTCATCATTGTATAACCGTGAATATTAAATCTGACTAAATAAATCAGTTACAAAAAAAACAACCAAACAATAAAACTACATTTGAAGTTGTGACAAGAAATAAAATATCTAGAGAATGCACTTCCTATTCAGTGTGAAATAAGTTTATGGTGAAATGAGAGAGAGAGAGAGATTTGGTAAAGAATGTGCAGTAAAATTGAAGAAAACACAATACATAAGGTGAAAAATAACAAACCAAAGCAAACAGGACCAAAAGGTGACAAAATGTAAGAATGTAATGGAGTGAGACAATATAATACAAAAAAAAAGTTTTTCTTCAGGAATATGTTTTCAAAGAAGTGGCTTTAATAATGTAAAAATTCAAAGACAGGAGAAACCTGACATAAATGATGAATGGAAAGTTACATGGGCAGAATGAGAAAGAATAGAGCAGAGCAAAAGAAGGTCATATAATAGGAGTTACAAAAAGTTTAGGATGGAAAATGAAGCTGGAGAAGATGGAAATGTCAGTTAAATACAAAAATTGAGACAAGAAGGTGGATATTTTTTTAGTGTATAAAAATACAGCAGATTATAGAAGAGACTAAAGTAAAATTTGAAGAAATTGCAGAAAGGACAACAACAATGTTGGTGGAAGATATAAATGCAAGGAATGTAAAAGAAGGGATGGGAGATATAAATGCAAGGATTCTAAAACAAAATAACAAGAATATGATTAAAAAAATGGTATACATTTTTCGTAGAAAGGGTGAAGAAAATCACAAGATAAGAAATGAATAGGGAAGGGAAAAGAACTTATAGAACTTTGTGAAGATTAACATATATCTAGGAGTGAGAAGAGCTTCAATGGTAGATTATGTAACTGAAAAATAAGAACCACAGTTAATGAATTAGTGGGTGAAAGTGGACAACTGGGTAGAACTGAGTCATATACCAATCAGTGCAACTAACAAAAAAGGACAGAAGGGGTATATATATATAACTTGGAACTGAAGAATGAATAAAGAAAAACTGAAATGTTGATAAGAAAGAAAGATGATGATCAGGAAGTATTGGAAAAGATTAATATGATTTGAAAATTGTTGTACAAAGACTAAGAGTGATGGTTCAATGGCAAAGAGAGAATGGATGGTTTCATCACAAATGTAGATCAAAAGAAAAAAAGGAAGGAAAGAGAGAAAGTGGAAAATAAAAAATATCTAAGGACTGGGGGGCAAATAAAGTGAGGAATATATTATAAAGGGAAACTACAGTAATGTACAAAAAACAAATCATAGGAAAATGTTGGAATAAATATAGTAAAACAACTAATGATTACCGGAAAGTAATGAGTGAGGAGGGGTGGATAACAATTAGTGAATGTGAAATAATGGAGAGAATACTAGAAGATGGAGAGGAATGGCAGAGGGTAGATAGATTAAATATTAATAGAAATAATTAACAAAACTGGAGTCAGTGGATAGAAGAAGAATTTGAAAAACAATTACAAAAAGGAGAGTTCAGAACAAAATAAAAAATCGAATGAATTTCATAAAATTTTAGTAAAAGAAATGGATAATACAAACACTATGATGGACAATACAGTATATAAAGAAATGGAAAGAAGCAGATACCTGTCTAATTTACATATCATAAAATGAAGGAGGGTTAAAAAACTCTAGCAGGATATTACTAAATATAACATATATATATTAATGACCAGATGTTGATAGTTTATCAGCAGAAAACTATACAATGGACTATCTTCACTCTGTCCACCACAAGGAATCGTAACCAACGTTTTGTGTTGAAACGTCTGTAAACTTACAACTGACCCACATGGGACACGATATCAAAAAACCATGATGAACGGTTAAAGGGAAAAGAAATAATAAACAAATGCCCAGCAGGATTTCAGAATGAGTACACATTTTTTATAAATATGAAAGCTGTATTTGAAAAGGTGAATAGAAAGCAATTATTTGAGAAATTGAAGAAAATATGAATGTGTGAAAGAATGTTAGCTATAGTAAATGACATATATAAAAAAACAACAAAGTAAACAGAAAAAAGAAAGGTCAGATTTTTTGGAATGGTGAAAGAAAAAGAGTCAGAAAAAATGATTGTTATGTTCTATACTATCCTCATTCTGTTTAAAAGACTTATAATATAAATGGATGGAAAAAAGTATTGGGAAAACTGTAATAGGTAAAAAAAAATATTCAGTCTGAAACATGTGGCTGACATCAAAATGAAGGGCATGTTCAGGATACTTGAAAATATATGAAAAGGAATAAACTTACCTTCAGTTTAGATAAATCAAAGATAGATGATGGTTTTTAGAAAAAAGTTCAGTGAAGAATGGAAAGGTTAGTACATACAGGTGCTGAAGAAATATAAATACTTGGGAAACTGGTTTAACAATAGAAACATGGAAATGATCCCACATAAAACATACTGAAGTGAAAGCAGAAAATGCAACATGGAATGCACTTAAGAGAAGAAGAATACAGGATATGGCTAGGCAGTTGAATTTGTTTGTAAGCCTGGTAAGCTCTATTATTAACTATATAGTAAAAATTTGGGAATGGAAAAGGAATTAGAAAGTATAAAAAATACAAACAAAAGATATAAAATAGACATTGGGTTTAGGTATAACCAAAATGACTATTAGTACAATGAAAACAATTTTGTATAAATTTTGAAATAATGAAGTTTAAAAAAGAAAGGTGGCCAAAACATTGTTTGAAATTAATCGTATAGAAAATAATAATAAAAATGAATGGGAATGGGAGATAGAATATACGAAGGGGGTGAGAATCCTGAAATATGTCAAATGACAGGGGAAACAAAAATTGGGAATATAAAAATAAAGTAAAAAAAAAAAAATAAGAAAGTGACAATGATGAAATTCATGAATGAATGAAAGCCATTTGCTGAATTCCCCATTATTTTGTTCTTTCACACAAATCATTATAGATTTTATAGTTATGTAGTTGCATCTTCAGATCTGGATATGCACTGTCACCTGCCAAAACATATGGAGCATATTCCCATTCAGAGTGGTTGTGAAGCAAAATTGAAAAATGAGAAAACATTAGTTGCAGATAAACTTTAAAAGTTAACTATTCCATTTTTAAGTATTATTAGTTATATGTATTATTTGATCCATATGTATATATAATAAGTTTCAACTTTTAACTCTCTTAGTTTGGACTGGTGATTTTGAATGGTAATTGAAAAGCTTATTAGTAGTGGTTGCTGGTTAGAGTTTGTAGGTGGAAACCCCAAGGGTCCAAATTTTGTTTGTCCCAGGGCCCTCAAAGCCTATGGTTGCTGGTTGATCTCTGGTATGTACCTCGTAGCAACGAATATCATAACAGGCATGAGGTGTTACATTTTGTAGCTTTAATTAGTTTTATGCCGACAACAATGTCAGCAGACAACTTCACATTTAAAGAATAATACATGAAACAAAGTTGTTTGTCTTTCATCAACTTTTGCTAAAATAACTCAGTTCATTATTATTGATATGGTAAACTATTAAAAATATATATGTTAAGTCATTTTGTAAAATCCATTCAAACTAAATGGGTCTTCTACTAATTTGTTATAATTAAATTCATTCTACTGTAGTAGATGAGCTATGGTATGCTTAATTTACACTGTTGTTGTTACACTTTCTTGACATATTATTTTATGTATTGTGAACTATATTATAATTGGAAATTTCTACAGAAAATTTTGTGTCCACATAAAATTTAGTTTTGAAGGTTGGCACGTGAGTCTATTGAGATAGTAATTTCAGTGACTACCAACCTATCAAATTTAAATTACAAGTACTTTGTAGCCCTCATGATGTGATTTAACAATATCAAAGCAAAACTAAAAAGTGGTGAAAATGTTTTAGTAGAAAGAAACACATCAAAAATGACACGTGGAAAGCTTTTTGTGAAGTGTGCATTACAACAACAACAAAGGAGAAAGTTGGTGCTATTCAGTGTATAAAACTGGAAATTCACATTTGAGTTTTAATTTATGCAAAATTGATGCCAGACAAAATACCACTGAAAAGCTCTGCACCCATCACATTAACACATGTATAAGAGGTGACTAAAACGTGTTTCTTTGTACTGTAAGGATATTAGACCATTAGATATTGTTACTAGACCTGGATCCTTAGAATATTCTCAAAATCTAATTAAATTAGGCTTAATTCATGGAAATTTGAACAAGAATAATTTATTACCACATAGTACAACCATTTCTCATAATGTTCAAAAAGAAGTAAAGAAGAATTTGTGTACGTTACTCATTCCAAATATCTTATTAAG